CTGAGGATAAATTTAGCTTGTGGTTTGCTCCTTTGTAGCCACACTCTCTGTCTCTAACGTACATAGCCTCTCTTTGCTTAGTGCCTCCCTCTTCTGTTGAAGGTGCTGGGACTTTGTCTCCATAGACACTGGAGTCAATGCCATCTAGTCCTTCAACCAGAGAAAATGGTCTTCATGGGAGAATATCTGAGGCATTGGAGATATCTGAGGCGAGCCTGACCCAATGCACAATCACCTGGACCAGTCATTCAGGCATTTAGACTAGGACAGGGCGGGAGTAGAGACCCTCTGCATTGAGATGACTTCAATTACCTCAACAACCAAGGCTGCTTTCCTGCCCCTAATTTTATACCCATTGGCAGGTGCCCTGGTGCAGTGTCACAGTATGTCCACAAGATAGCGCCACACATCTGCATCAGATCTTCTCCAGACTGGACAGGGCAACTGTTTAACTCTTTCAGGGTTGAAGTAGCTTTGGTTTCATTGAAGTTAAGAATGGAACAATTTCCTGTCGTTAATCTTCAGAGATTTCTTGGCAAAGAAACACATTTCTGGGATTTATAAATACATATTTATTTTTGAGGGATTGGGTTGCAAACTTCCTGATCTCCAAACCTCTTCACTATTTTGCTCCTTGTGCCTCTGCAATCTCTTGCTTCGAGACGTCCATCCTATGTGAAAAGTGCGGTATAAATGCTGTGCAAATTCTTGCTTTGACTTGAACTGCAAACATGGTCAGGCTCACTGACCTGTGAGGCTGTGGTGGTGTGCGGAGTGGATCCCAGACTAGGAACAGGGAGTGTCTGTTTACAATGCTAGCAACGCTAAGATGTGTGGGCACAGAACCACCACAAGCCTGCAACAGCGTCCAACTGCTATATCCACCCTCACACCACAGGAATTAGACCAAATGTATTCCCCTTCCCCATAGACTAGTGGGTAACTGTTCCACGTGGCAGGGAACTCAGCCACACAGAGCAGGGAGGTTCCATATTTGTGGAGAGAAGGGGTGGAGGAACATCCGATGTTGGATCCATTCAAATTTTCAAGACTGAAGTGAATAGAAGTTTATTAGGTCAGGGTATCAAGAGATATGGGGCAAAAGTGGGTCATTGGATTTGAGGTACAGATCAGCCATGATCTGTAATAAAATGACAGCACAGGCTCGAGGGGCTGAATGGCCTCCTCCTGTTCTTATGACATGGCGAGCAGGCGGGGCTGGGTACACCACACACTGAGAGCTTGTTGGGCTCTAATGGCCTTGGTGTTTCCCAATATTAGCCCAAGTGCCTCAGCCTCGGTGAGAGCCCATCTCCTTCCCCTAGAACCTGCACTACATTTTATGATGAAGGTTACTATAAACTCTGTCTCTCACTTGTTTCCCGGGCACTGATGGTCAGACAGTCCCAGGCAGTGTTCCCACGGCTCTGCTCTCTCCATCCCTCTTTACTATTTCTGCTCCTTGGTTTCTCCAGTGTCAGCTGGAGAGGCCCCACTTTCCCACGCTCCTTTACTCGCTCCAATAAACAGCTCCATTCAGAACTCGCCTGCAGTTCTCTGCTCTGCCGGTGAAACTTCTTTACTGAAGTCACATTTCTGAAACATAAATATGGTTTCATAATTTAATTTGATTGTTCAACACTGTATGTAAGTGTAGGGACACAGAGAGGGTTAGGGACACAGATTATGGGATATGGGGCAAGGGCGGGTAATTGGAGTTGAGGTACAGATCAACCATATCTAATAGAATGGCGGGACAGGCTCGAGGGGCTGAATGGCTTCCTCCTGTTCCTATGTATGAGGTATTGCTATGTGTAAATGGCCACTGTTTTAACTGACTGCCAATAGTTACTATATAAAGAGAAGGTTCAGTGATATTAGGTGCTATAAAAATGTAAGTACTTTCTCTCCTTTGTTACATTAGCAGGTTGAGGTTCACCATGACAAGGCTCGCCTCTGGTCAGGATTTAGCTGTAACTGAGCTGCACAGAGTAGTGCAATCGCTGGGATCAATCTCCAGGTTGTGCTGGTGTACGTGGCTTCGCTGGGGTGGGTACATTGGCCTAAGGTCCCTGGGTTGTGGAGAAGGGAAATCTGCCGAATTATTATCAATCCTCCCAACCACATTCAGGGCTCATCTCTCACACACAGAGTAGCCACTGGCGTGAGTACCCAGTGAGAGTTTGAATGGGGAAGTGAAGCCAATCCTGGCACTCACTCGTCAAAGCCTCGAGGGGCAGAAACCGTGGAGAGAAAACAAGGCACATCTGTGAGTGGCTTATTTTAAGAAAGCGTTTACAGTTGCAGAAATAACCAATGCGGTTTGGTTGAAAACTGCAAGTCAGCTTTGTTTTGGAAAATAAGTGTTCAGAGTTTGCGGCTGACAGAGGACTACACCTCAGTGGGTTTGTCTCCATGGTTTGCTATCATAATAATAATAATAATCATTGCATTTGATATAGTGCCTTATCGTGTTGTCAAGATGCCTCAAAGCACTTCACAGAATACACTGTGACTGTAGTGACTGTGTGTTTTGTGGGCAAATCTCAGCTCCTCGTAGCTCGCCTGGCGGGAGGTCCCACGGGACGGGGTAAATGTTCCCAAACCCCAGTTGATTTCTCCTGTTTTCCTCTCTTCTGGAGGTTTCCCTCCAACTGGGATCGTCCGGAGCAGGAGCTTAGGATCTGTCCAGGTCACTCCTCCGGCCATCCTGGGTCCAAACCCCAAACCCCAAACCCTTCCTCAAACACAGCAAACAGCGCCCTCCTGTGGCTCAGTTGGTCATTGACTGCTCGGACCGGAGAGGAGAGTTATTCTGGTCTCCTGAGACCCCACAGGGGGAGGACAGACACATGGCTATCAGTTACAGAGCTCTGTGGTTCAAACACGTCCACAGATATCGCTGTGCACCTCCACATGCACACACATGTAGACATCCACATCCACACACATACACCCATAGACCTACACACACACACCCACACATACACACACACACCCACACATACATACACACACACATACACACCCATAGACCTATACACACACACCCACACATACATACACACACACACCCATAGACCTACACACACACACACATACATACACACACACACACACACATACATAGACATACACACACACCCATAGACCTACACACACACATACACACATATACACACAGACACACACACACCCACCCACACATACATAGACCTACACACACACACACACACACATACCCACACATTCACACACATACACAGACACCCACACACACACATACGCACACATGCCCACACATACACACACATACACACACATATACATATACACAGACAAACAGACATACACACACAGACAAACACATACACACGGAAAAAATGTCCCTGCTAAACCGCACAAGATTGTCCCTTCGCCTTTTTCCTTTCACATTACGGTTTTCAGTAATGAATCATTAACATGAAAAGAGGTAATAAAGCCAGGCTGGTAATCTCCTTCTCCTCAATGTAAGTGCTGCTTGTTAAAAACACAAGATTGATGCATTTATAATTTTTTTCTCTAAATTTGCTCTCCCTATATTAATTTCTGATCCCAGTGAAGTGCACACATTAGGTATAGATAAGACTGTGGGATTCCTGTCACAATCTGGAAATTAACAGAGTTGAGATTACAACGTCTCTCAAACAGCTTTATATATATAAACCCTTCACCATAAACTTTGCAGACAGACCAGCAAACGGAGAGATTTTGAAAACAACCACATATTTCACTCCATTTTCCAAGCAGACAATCCCTCTGAGATAAACACAACAGGACACCAAAGGAATGACAACAGGTCAGGATGTGTACCACAGACTCCACCACCTCAAAGGAAGTTTATAGAATATAATAAGATTTAATTTGAACCATGGCTTTATCAAATAATAATCCTTGCATTTGATACACATCACATCAATCACATCAAGAAACTTTTTTCACCCAACAAATTACACAGTCAATTCACTTTACAATATATCATGTGAAGCGCTTTGAGACGTCTCAACGATGTGATAATGCAGTATATCAAATGCAAGGATTATTATTATAGTGACTGACGAAACATGGCAGCCAATGGTTTGTCATCAGCGCCTCACACAGAGATGAAATGATTCATTAGCCGGTTGGTGAATGTGGATGAGAGAGGAATATTGATCAGGAGAAACCCTTTGCTCCTCTTCCAAACACCGCCTCTCACTGGATGGTTAATGTCCACCTGAACTGCTTCACAGGACTCCCCTCAATTTCACTTCCCACCCAAAAAGTACAGCACAAATGCAGCACTGAACACTGTGCTTGAGGGACAACCACATGCAGGTGAAGCTAAAAAAAGGCTGTTTCTTAGATCATTTTCATATAACCTCCCAGTTTGCTTCCTATTATTGATTCTATTTGGGTTTTCCAATGACTGAGATCAGCCTCATGGCTCTGGGGTTGACATTGACAGCTCTCTTTCTTGTACACTGGAACCAATTTAGTGGCGACTTCCTCATAATGGCTGTCAGTGCTTCGCAAACCTGCTGACTGGTCTCCACCTCCCCCAAGTCTGCACTTCAGCTATCTCGGAATCTGTCCTATCTGGAACTCTCTCTGCCCAATATCAAAGTCCCAGGTTCACACCATCCTCAGGGGGAGAGGAGAGAAAAGGGAGAAAATTTGCAAGAAACTGAAAAGTGTCCCAAGTTTAATGGAGGGAAAAATCCTTTCAACTGAATTCACCCAAAGTCCACATCAAATGGCTTTAGCTGTGACCCTGTGACAGATACCCTGTGTCCCATTGCCCCCACCCCATGACACCCCAACGCTCTGCAGCGAGCGCTTTGAGGTTGTGTTTGAAGTGGCGCATTCCTCCCCATGTAAATACAGAGCTGTAAAGTGACCTGACGTCAGGGCGCCTCTCCTGAGAGGTTAGAGAGAGAGAGAGAGAGAGTGCCCGCCCAGGGCGTGGGGGGGGGGGGGAGTGGGGAGTCAGGGGAGGAGGGCGCTCACACACACAGGTGGGGGACAGGCGGCTACACAATGCCTGTGGCGCCCTTTTGGGAAGATGTACGTGAGCTATCTATTGGATAAAGACGCCGCCATGTACCCCAATCCCTCCAGGCACACCAGCCTCAACATCGCCCCCCAGAACTTCGTGCCCGCGCCCCCCCAGTACACGGATTTCTCGGGATATCATCACCACGTTACGGGCATCAGCGACTCTCACCATGTCCAGCCCGCCTCAGCCTGGGCAGCGCCTTACGCGCCGGGGAGAGATGACTGGCACGGGTTTGGCACAGGTAATGGGGCCAGTCCCTCTGGCCCGGGACAGCTCGCCTTCAGCCCGGCTGATTTCACAGCCATGCAGCCCCCACCTGCTGGTATCCTGGCTCCCATCAACAGCTCATTGCCCCAACTCTCCCCCACCGCACAGCGCCGCAATGCCTACGATTGGATGAGACGCAATGTGCCAACCAACACACAGGGTAAGTGGCCAATTCCTGACCCAAGGCCAGAGCTCAGGCCAACCGCTCGGGCAAGCGACACGTCAATGGACCTCTGTACAGCTCTTCTCTTCTCAACATGTCAGCCCTGGACAGGCAGTGAGAGGGACAGGCAGTGAGAGGGACAGGCAGTGAGAGGGACAGGCAGTGAGAGGGACAGGCAGTGAGAGGGACAGGCAGTGAGAGGGACAGGCAGTGAGAGGGACAGGCAGTGAGAGGGACAGGCAGTGAGAGGGACAGGCAGTGAGAGGGACAGGCAGTAAGGCTTTCTGCTGTTATTGGGTGTCCTGTTTCTGTTTCTGGTCGCCATGTGCTGGGGCATTATATTCAGATACTATCCAAGAGAAATAAAAAGGTAACTGTTTCCTGCTGTGAGATACACCTGTCCAGACACTGAAACCAGGATAGAATAGACTCAATGCAGAGACACTCACTCACTCACTCACGTCCTGTCTGAGGTCAAAGGAACCTCAACTCTCTTCAGGTCAGAGAGTTCGTGGCCTGAGCTGAAATTATTGGATATCTCGGAGAGAGCGACACCGGTGTAAATGTTAATGTTAGTTATTGTTTTAATCGTCTCCCTCCCGGGCTGTCGGGGGGGGGGGGGGGTAAGGGGGCATATTTTGGTTTTATTATATGATGGACACTTTACAACAACTGCCTTAATTGCATTTACTTATATTATTATTAATATTAATACTAGAGCAATAATGAAGTCCAGGTGTGTTATTACCTGTTTGCCAATTTCAGGAAAGGCGGAAGAAACACTGTGTGGAAATGTCTGTAGCGACCTTTACCTGTGACATTATATTCCATCCCCAAGTCTCATACCAGGCCTCCCGATCTCTGTAGTGTGGGTTATCTACAACTTTTCAGGACTCAGGATTGTAATGATGTGTGTGTGTGAAATCTGGGCTGAATATGGCATATTCCAACCCATTGCTTTTGGTGGCGTTAATCGAAGCTGCCCTTGTTATTCCCTCTTCTCTCCTACACTGTCCCGGGTTAGAGCAGTGCAGACTCTCTCACACACACACACACGGTGTAGACCCTGACTGCTGAGCGACCCCTCACCCATTCCCATTCCCACTCACCGAGACTTGTGGAAGATGTTCAACAGACACTGTCACAATACCGCTCGCTGCGTCCCTGAATCTGCCGCAGATCCCAGAAACCTCCTTCACACAAGGCTCTCAGGAGTTTAAACCTACTGTCACTTTCAATAGATATGTGTAGATTCCCAGTAAATCCACACTTCATAAAAAAATACCAACAAAAAAAGGCATTGAGCGATGTCAAGTCTTTAGCCAGAAAGGAGTGTACCTTTCCACTCGTGACACTCTCCAGTTGACTCGCTGTTAGCGGCCTGTGGTGAGCAGCTGTTCGTTGGTTGTTTAGTGAGTTAGTGCTGAGTGTGCACACAGTTTACTGGTGATTTTGAAAGTTCCATTAAAGGTGTAAAGACGCTATTCAGCAGCGGCACAATTATTACATATCTAATCCCACACGTACCTGGTTCAGGCGCTTCGTGTTGAGAGACTGTAACCCGTTTCCTTCTGCAGTACTTTACGTCTTTTACACTGTAGACGGTATAACAGGTTAAAAGTAAAGAGCATTTTCGCGTGTTTGAATGCTTACAGCCCCCATAATAATAATAATCCTTGCATTATATATATATATATAGAGAGAGAGAGGGTTGTCAGCAAGTGGAGATTACTGTGCCGAGAGACAGCAGGTATTACAATTTAAGACCTGTTAATTATACAGGTACCTAATAAATCCTTCTTCCACTAATTAAAGCAACTTTAAAGTCGGGGACAAACGTCTCAAATTGCATCACAGGATTTATTGTACAGTGCATTTTGTAGGGTAACCCCCTTTCTCCTTATGTGGTGTGAGGTCAACTTTGAGCAGAAAAGTCTATGCGTACAATAATATGCTTTAAACCCTAATACACCAGTAGTGGAAACCGCAGTGGGTTGTAATTACAACGAGGAGGTAATAAATGTGGATATTCTAACACGATAAACAATCTATCCAGCTATATTCTGCCCTCCATTGCCAAGTGTAGAGCCACTACACTACATAACATTCGATTGAGTTATTAATCTATCAATTTCCCCAATAAAAAAAGTATTGTAAATAAAGCGCTGCTTATCTTTAACACATCCTTTGGATTAAACACCCAACCCTGTAAAGTATACAATATATATATATATCTATAAAGCAATATATACACATATAATAATAATTGAAGATTGTAAGGGTGTGAAGATGGTAAGGGCAATAGTTTATCCCAATCCCAGCGGTGCCTATGGGATTGGAGTCACTTCCCTTTCTATTAATTTGGGGAAATCAAAATACATCAGCAATAAGTGAGGACCTGACAACTTCCTCTCTAATGGAAATTCCCTTCTTTTTTTAACTGCAGTAAAAGGTGAGATTCACATCCGCTCCCGTTGGGAAACCAGTGAATACTGTACTGTACAACCCCCAACATCCCAATGTCAACACATCCCCATTGCTGGCGGGTCGGGGCGGTGAGAGTGGGAGTGTCGCTGTGTGTTGACCAGCACCGGGCAGGGGTATAGAGATGGAGATGTGGACAGGACAGGGGCTGTTCCCATTGTTTTACCCCTTTCTTCCCTTATCAGCCCAGGCGGGAAGACAAGGTTTGACTGCCTTTGATGTCATTCTCAACTACATTCTATTCACGAAGCTCAAACACACACTCACACACACACTCACACACACAACGACTTTTCCCTTTAATATTCCCCCCTCCCCCTCCTCGCTAACTCACATCAAACAACCCTCTTGAAGAAGATAGGCTTTATTCAAACTCTCCCCCTTTTTCTGATGATTGTCTTCTCCCGGGCCAAGCCAGGGAGCAATCAGAGGTCACATATAGCCCCTCAACAAATATTCTTGTGTTACTTTGACCAGTTGAGCAATATCTGGCACTTCTCTCTCTCTCACACTCAGCACCGGTCAGTCATCCCTCTGTTAAATATGGTCACTTTCAAAACTTAACACAGCGCATGTTTATTCATAAAAAAATGTGAATATGAAACTCAAATGTTCTCACATTCACTCAATGATTCCGTATTTTATTTTAAATATTCACGGTCGGGGCATATTACTCGAACCCGGTTTTCTCTCTCCCTCTGTGCAATGATTAATTCGACTCCAGGAAACTTCCACTGACACTGAAATGATTTCTGAGATATTGCATTTCATAAAGAGACGTCTCACCTCGAATTCCCCTCAGACTGAACCCGAGGACCTGAGATGCTAATTGTTTAGATGGAGCCCCCAATTCGCTGCCTCTACAGCACTGCGAGGAGATAAGATCCTCTCAGATGTGGCTTTTGTTGAGTAAACCACAAAGCGGAGAGAACAGCAGCATTAGCATTTACACAATGTTCTCAGCTAATTACTGGCGTTTGGAAACATGTCCTTATCCTGAGGTTACACAGACACCGGGTCCCGCGGTCCCCGACTCCACAGAGTCCGTCACACGATGCGTTCAGTAACGTTTCCAAACCAACGCATAGAAACGCGATGGTTGGAAATGAAGGGGTTTGGGGGGAGAGGATAGGAAATGAAATGAAAATAGAAAGATTGACAATGGCAATAATATCTGTTGTCGATTCCTTTAGAAAAGGAAAAGGGAATATTCCATATACGCAAATTGAGACCAAACCACACGCGGGACGCGGATAACGTGGTGCGGACACAGGAGATGGTGTGACGGGGATTTGGGGAGTGAGTGGCTGGGAATGTGGGATGGTGTGGGCTGGAGACAGGTTGGAATACTGTTGCTAATGTGGCGCAGAGATGGGAGGATTTGGGGCAAAATAAAACGATTAAAACACCCTTCGAATGCGGCTAAACCCCTCCCGTTTCAATGCCCCGAACTCAGGTCATATACTGATAGTATCTTTCTGTTAACTTTGATGCTAATAATACTTTGAAAATGGGAGGAAATGTAATTATTATTTTATGATTATTGTTGTTACGCAGTCATTGTTATGATATAATAATAACCAGATTATTACCACGATATTATGATCATTATTATGTTTTCTCTCATTTTCAATTAACGACAATAACTGTTTTTATTATTTGAAAATAAGAGGAAACAGTTAAGATCCTGAAAGTGAAAAGGCATTTTGAAAGTTAGATTGAGAGACGTGTGTTATACTATATAATAGTTTAGCTGAGGGTGTTTTAGCAAACCGTTCAACCAGAATTAGGGAATGATTTAATTTTAATTTACATCTCACATCGATTCGATGGAATAAAGTCAGAAACTAATGCAATTGGTTTACATATTTGGTTACATCAACAACAGTAAGTCAAACACACACACATACACAGCACTCTGGTAATAATAATAATAATCCCTCCAAAAACAAAAAACATTAATAAATTGGTCATTTTTAAATTGGTCATTTTCAACCCACGGCTGTTTGTGGGACAGACATTGCTGTGCGCAATTGGCTGCCGGGTTTCGCCCACAAATATACAAATTCACTTTACGGTATACTCTGTGAAGCGCTTTGAGACGTCGAGAAGATGTGAAAAGCGCTATATCAAATGCCAGGATTATCATTATTATTATTATTACTGAATAGAGATCAACTCCTGGTGTGATCAGTCTGCTTGACTAACCCGGTGTGGACTGAGTGATATTAGTTTCACTCCCTTTCCTACTCTAACCCGAGTGGTTTACACGGAACCACAGAGCATCGAATAAGTTGAGGTGACATTTATAACCTCACCAGCTCCTAACATTCTCACACGTGGAAAATAAATGGTTTAAATCACTTGCTGTAGCCCCTGTGAACTCGGGGTTTAATAGGGAATTACAATCAATTACATTAAAATGTAATTGTATTTAATGGAACTGTATTGTATTTAATGTGCAGGTTGAAGCTGGTAAATAGTTTAGTAACACTACATATTTAGTAAATTAT